ATAAAACCAACGGCTAGCTCAGTTACAAAGGACGTGGTCCAGCCACACATAGATAAATCCTCTACTTATGTACTGCCCTGATGCCGTGACTGAATGGAAGACGGATGCTCAGCGACAAGGAATTACCTGGTTATAACAGCCGCTTCCCTGTTCAAAGGTCGTACTCAAGACGAAAGCGAAGTAGAGGCAACAATTTCCAATCCGGACTTTGGACCCTTGAACGTGCCATTGAACAGAAACCGTTACACAGAGTTCCAGAAAACATTGTGAGCAGCCACGGCAACGGCAAAAAGGAAAAGTACTTATGTAGTTGTGTTGCGGTGGTTGTACAATCGGACACGGAGTTTATGTGTATATATTAAAAATTCAAGCGCTAAATAATTTTGTGCAAATGCGAGGGTAATTCAACAAGCTCAAGCACAATCAACATTATCTTTTGACATTAAGTCTAGATATAATTACAACTATGTGTACTAACTATGTTTCATAACTTTTTTCATGTAAGTTCTCTCCATTCGTGATAGAGGAGGCTTACATTGTGGGCGCTGGATGAGGAGATCCTGGGTTCGATTCCCGGTAGGAATAATTCGGGAAATTAACTTTACATCCGAGGGTTCCTGAGTAGTACTCCGGAGTCAATTTCGTTGCTCTAGTACTCATAGTACATATAGGGAATTCTCTAATTTTAAACCAGATGATTGGTATGGTGATCTGACACATTATTATTATATGACTACTCTTTTACATTGCGAGCCCCATGCCTAGACATGGGGTATAAGCTTTTAAATATAGTTATTGTATAGCCTGATAAAAATGCTGTAATAATAATAATAACGCACACACTCAGCATAGTCCCGCACTAGGGAAACCCTGTGCCGCGGGTGCCATGGACACACACATAGACAAACACAAATTACACCCAATCTCACGAGAGAAATAAATATAGGCCATACAAATATTTCTCCGGGAACCTGGGACCTCTGCGTGGCAGTCCGGAATGGTAACCGTTCGGCCACGAAGGTTTTTTAAATCTGTTTATTTATGAGTTTTTGTACAATGTTCAATTCCATCGTATCGTAAACTATAGCTCACATTTCTAGGCGGTGCTGCTGGAGAGGGTTACCTATCACTACTCCGAAATAATGACATTTTCCAGAAATAACGTTTGCCCGAAATTTCATAACCTCGAAAGTAATGAGAGTAAAATGTTTTTTCTCTTAAACCTAACTTAACCTTTTTTTTTAACCTAACCGAACCTAATCGTGTCTTTGCGATAAACATTCAACATATCCTGAAAGAACAACTGATATAACTGAATAATTCGGTTTTCGGTATAATGAAAATTTGAACAAACGTTATTTCGGACAAAAAAATTTTCGTGTTAAAAAGAGTTAAGTAAAAGTTAAAATAGTAACAGTCTTTTTGCCCGTTTCGGGTGGAGAATAAGGGGAAAGAGCCGTGGCAGCCTAGTGGTTTGACTTTCCGCCTCGCAAGCAGAGGCTGTAGGTTCGAATCCGGGCTCATACCTCAGACTTTTTCGGAATTTATGAATATACCATAAGCTTTTGTTAAAGAAGGTTCACAGCCCTCGGAAAACGAGTGAAGTCCCCAACCCGCACTGGGCCAGCGTGGCGGACAATGGCCTAAACCTTCGCCTGAGAGGGGACAAGTGCAGCTAAAGTGGGACGTATAAATGGGTTGATGATGAGGTGTGGGGATTGCCTAGTAAACAATTTATAGCATCTACGAATGTTCGGTTGATCTGCAAATCTCTGATCAATGCCATGCCGCCCTTTATAGCTCGTACCGCATACATTGCAGTAACAAATGACATGCATCTTCCGCTACTCCACATACCTAACTCGCAATTAGGAGAATTGTTTTTTTTTCATTAAGAAAGCAAAACTGTTTAATGGAACGTGTCCGGTTCTCATCCTTAGTGCGATGACAATTGTTTTCCTACCATAGTCGCAATCTGCAAACCATCGAGTATATAACCAGAAATAGAGACGAAATGTCATTTAATTTGTTTGAAAACTATTCTGCCAAATCATTACGATGACAACTGCACTCCGACTGGCCAGCCCGGATTCAAAACAATTGACTGGTGTCGTCAAAATACTCATTCTACATATAAGCACAGTTAAATTTATATTTCGAGAGAAATTCTTTGTGGCATGGTAATATATTCACCACATGCCCTTAGGTAATTGAACGTATTGTTATAATAAATTTGAAATTAATATAAACAAACAAAACATTTCTGCAGTGTCAAAGACTCAGATAAAAAACAAAGTTAGCTAATTTTATTTCCCGTTCTAAGACGCTTTCAGTTCACACTTTAATTGCAAAAAATATACACGTCAACGCAGTTATTGAACTCGATACTTTCAAAAGTATAACGTTACATGTCTCAAATTGAGCAATTTTTGTATCCTGTTCCACATCTGTTTCGGAAAAAAATGTCCTCTAACCATCAATTAGATGGGGGTAATAGTTCAAGCTAAAGAGTGTACGATTTTTTCCTAACTTTAAAAAGAACATAAAACGGATGCCTAACTATATAACTTCAAGCTCAGTCTGAAGTTCAGATTGATATGCCAACACATTTCCAAATAGGTTTACGCTCTAAAGTTCAAAAAGGATTCCCGACTAAGCCTAAATGGACACGATAGAATGCATCTCACCTAGATATTGCAAGTCACGAGAAGACAAAATTGTTATCATCATCATCATCATCACCTTTTGGGAAATCCGTGTCCAGCAGTGGGATAGTGGGAACCTTTATAGGTTTAAATTATCACGCTGGGTCCACAACGCTAACCTATAGGCGTTTTCCAAAGGTTGTAAACCCTCGAAATACAGAATTACAAAGATAATTGTTTAGACGGAGTTTTCGATGTGAATATCTATATTAAAGTCCCATTACAACACAGTCCAAATAGAATTTTTATGTTTTTTATTAACCACGACTGTACCAAATTTGTATAAACATTGTTACAATATTTCATTAAAATGATAAAAACAGACTTTACTATACGACTGCACAGACTCTCCCAAGAAACCAACCCACGCAAAAGGTTCATATGTTAGTTAACCCTTCGATATCGCTTTCCACGCCGCCTGTCGTCGAGTAGCGTCGCGAAAATCTCCCTCACAATCATGTGTCCCTCTCAATGACTCCACACACTGCTACATATGAACGAGATAGCCATATATCGGCCATTATATCTCATGCTTCCCTCGCGGGAAAACGGACAACCCTCTCCGTCTCTATTTCCTTACTGATTGTTTCATGTTCAGAAAGAGACGGGAATATTTTGAAGGTTGTATTTCGTAGTGGACATGAGTGACCAGGCGATTTTAACGTTTTTCTTACAGCCTATCACAGGTTGTTTGGTCAAGCAGCTCATAAATGAAAGTCAGGAAGGGTTGCTGAAAAGGTTTTTTATTGGGGCGTTTTCTTCTTTGAATGAAAATGTTTATTCCAGAGTACAGTTAACGTTTTCAAACTTCCAATTTAACTTAAGCTATAGTGGTGAGAGTTTGGTTTGTTTAATTTACAATAGTAAGTAGGGGTAATTTTTGGTCAAAGGTTTTACTAACATAATCCTTTAAAATTAAATAATTAAGCAGAGGTAAGAATCATGAAAGAGAGCAGGATATTTATCTTAACATAAACATGTACACCAGTTCAAAAGAACTTTAAATATTATCACAACGATCCTGTATTGTTTTGTGATAATAAGTCCAGGACTTAAACAAAACAAATTTGCTATCCAGAAGAGAAAACGAGAAAACTCCACTCTCCAAAAATGGCAAAACAAATTCGCCTCAATGATAAAATTAGAACAGCATTCGAATTTCAATAATCGAACGGTGGCAACTCCGCAAAGTCAGTTGAGAAACAATTATGAAAAAGTTCTTTTTCGCCGCCGTTCTCGCGCCAGTTAAGTCCCGACTGACACTCATAAAACTTATTAAAGTCAAGGACCGACCGAGATAAGTTCTTCGTGGCGTCTTAAGTAAAATAACGACGGGAAAAAATGTGCTCGCGAAACTTGGCCGAGTGAGAGTGAAAGATCTATGTGAGTTTGTAAAATACGTGTTGCGTTTATTGATAAGAATTTTGGTATAGGCTTTGGCTGCGGTGTTTACAAATGACATTCACTTACTTTTTGAATTGCTGTGATAGATCTCTTAGGTCTTTTATTATTTTTTATAACAGGCTATAAAATGCTATATTACCTAAACAACAACATTACGTATAAAATATTTTTTTACTCTTATCCTTTACAAATGGAAATCTAAGCACCTCGCTACGAAACACGTAGCAGTCGTAGCATTGACTAAAACGATTCTACGACCAACTTTGCTTAATAGACATCTCAAACATAAATAGAAAGTATTCTCATATTATATCAATAGTCAAGAAATTGTATGACAGTTCAAAGCGTAGAGTTGTAAAATTTCGTTTTTATTAGCGATATTTAAAATTTGATGGAAAAGACTATTGTAAAAGTTTTTTCTTCTGGACTTGAATTCCACGCAGATAAAACTCTACGTTACTTTTAAAGTTCGAAATTACTTTATCATCTGAAAATTTAACACTGACCGTGTGACAGTTCATTCAATTAAAAATTCCATCTCCTAATCGAGTCGTGAAATATGCAGGCAAATATTATCCCTTTTCTTTTGTACGCGCTGCATCTTCGCCCCACCCGCGCACGCACACCGACGCACGGCACTTATGAATGATATCTGTCTCGTTCTCTCCAGCGGATGAAGTAACACACCACGCATAATACGGTCTCCCTCGAGCAGCCGAGACGGCGGCGACCGCGAGTAACCCCTGGCCACTTCGTGTGGACTCGCACGCGCCGTCGTCGACCGGCCGAGCGAGATGGCGCGACTTGTGGACATGCGGCGGAGGCCGTGGAGCCCTCGCGCGAAGGGACACAGGACAGACGCTCTCGGACATCGGGCGAGAGCGGGCGGCCGGCCGCGCACCTGCCTCTACCGCTCCGCACGCGCGAGCTCGATCGCGAGACGATACTTCGAGATAATCGTAAACACTACGGACTATCTTCCTAACTTCACAAATTAATTCTTTAATTTATTTTCTTTAAATTCCATAATAAATTTTAAGCTAAACAATTGATTTACAACACCTACGAGCAATTTTATGAAAATTTTACCAAAAGGACAGTGAAGATCAAATTTTAATTTTGGACTGAAAAGTGTAAAAGTTATTGACGTTTTAAATTCTGTGAATTAACAAAGCGTTGACCGCATTGCAAGATCGCCAACGGGCACGGACAGATTAGATAGGGCACTGAGAACTCCTTCAAGTGTTGATAAGACCTTATGACCAGTCAAATTTGGCGAGTAAACATTTGATCGACGAATACGTGTGAACTGATTTTTCACAACATGAAAAGGAAAAAATAAGGCGCAAAATTGTGAAGTATTGCTGATGATGAAGAAATCAAGAAAATGACTATTATAAACTTTGTTGATATTTGTTCCCGTCGGACTTTTGATGGGGATTCTGTGACTCGACCTCTGTTATCAAAAACGTTTAAAAAGGCTGATAAGCCGACGGCGGCACATGTGAAGTGAGCTAAGAACTGTCGAATGATAGCAAAATATTAAGATAAAGATTTATAAGGATATAGAAGTTGTTGAAGATCTAAAAATAGGTGACCAAATCAAGATGAGAATCAAGATGCCAGCTGTACGCATCGCGCAAGGTAAGTTGCAAAAATTACTTTTGAATATTTAAAGTCTTGCAATATTTATCGACAAAATATTTTTTACATTGACAAACTTTTTCGCAGAAAACGTTCAGCTAACAATAAATGTTGTTTAATTTACAAGAATCCAACAAGATTATTTTGAAATGTCTGGTAGAAAAAATAAACCAAATAAACAGTCGCGTCTTCACCCTTGCTCGCCGACGAGACTCTATTCAAGCTCGCAATGAGCTACTTAATACCCGAGGTAGCGCGTCAATATTGACACAAGACGATTGTGGTCATCTCCACATGTCCGAAAGGGCACGATGAAAAGCCTCCCCAGAGTGTGTCAGTGGCCGCTTTTAAATATTCACTAACTAAACCTGTGTGAAAGGTTAAGATTGTCTCGAGACTATCTGAAGTGATAAAAAAGATGGAATGAAGGAATAATTTACAAAGCAATAAAATTACTTTCAAATAGCAAAAATCAAACAAAACAAAGCTCATATGATTTTTTTTATTTCTAAAAATGATTGAAAAAAGAAGAGACAAAAAAGATTTTTCATGTAAAAGTTTTAATAGGAAGAAAATCTAGAAATAAACGGAAAATGTTGATACTGTTGTAGAGATAAAATTAACATCCACTTAAACTGAAAAATAAAAAGATAAGAATTGCACGACCATCACGACACTATAATAAAATGATATAAAGGTCAGCAACGATTCAAATTGCAAGAATGTAAAGCAAATAACAAATTACCTACATCTAGACTATTGTTGTAATTTTTATTACCATCACAGGTCAATTCGATAACAAAGGAATATCTTGACTTATAAACTCAACAGTATTAAGGTTAACTATAAACTGTGAATTGTGAATTAAATTAAGGAATGGCAATTATTCCCATAAAAACCGTCTTGACCAATGCAGAAGTTAGAAACGTTGAATGAATGTAGACTCCGAGCCATTGTTTGCAAAGTTCCCTGTGCCAACAGTTACTTACTCTAATTACTTATTATAAGCAAAAGTGAAGAGCACGATTTCTCATGCTATACTCCGCTTTTTAAAAAGAATGACCACAATGTATTTAGGTTTTGAGAACATTACTTGGAATATTTGCAAACTTGCTTACAATGAAAATTAAAATTAATATCACTCTGAATAAAATAACTAAGAAACAGATTTGGGATAAATATGAAAAATCTTATACCATAAATTCTTGAAACAACAAACTTCATTCAAGACGTTGACACTAACAGGTTAAATTTAGCATCCAAATAAAGATGTGACAATTTATGGCCGCAATATTGTAAGCTTTACTTGTAAGCATGCGTGTGCGTCAACCTCCCAACTAGCGGCACTCACGCGCACCGATTCTTCTCAAGTGTTATCGCACACATGGGCAATTAGTCCAAGTTGACCGGAGGCGACGGACCACGCCGATTGGTCGGGAGCACAATGACGTCATCAACGTCTGCGGCCGTCGCGCCCGATTGGTCGACACGCGTCATTTCGTCGATGACACGTTTGTTCTTATTTTGAATGCAAGCAGTTCGAGGTACTCGGATTTTGTTGTACATCACAATGGAACCCCCTTTGTACATGGAGTTGGACGCAACAAAAAAAGCTGTTTAAATTTACGTTACTCTGATCTAGTAATTAATGGCAATTATTATTTTGGCTATTAAATTCACACGGAAAATAGTTTATTTTTCTACTTTTTTGTCTAATCACTTAACAGAACCCCTACTTTCTTATTTATTGAGTACCTACATAGAGAAATGCCAATAAAACGTTTTTCCATAACGATTCTTTCGTTTTAAAAAAATCTTTGTTTCAATCCAAAACAACAATGTCAAACAAAATTACAATTTACACTTTTCCAAAATTATTACATCAGAGAAAGTGATTAAAAATTAAAGCATTCTCTAACCCGATCTCTAATTGAGATTAAGGGTTGAAACCTTGCGGCTTTTTTAAACCCTCCTCTAAAGTGTGAATTAGAGAATCGTAAAATTACTTTATCAGGTGCGGGGTTCTGACCGGGAGCAGAAACTTTCTGGTAAACTTTTAAAAATCTAAGTTAAACCGGCTCTGCAACGCTACTCTGAGCTAAATAAAATATTAATCAACGCACCGATTTGTTTTTGTTTTGCAACGTTTGTCACTAATTGACAAGGGTTTTTGTGTCCTCTGTCAGGATTTTAATTGAAATTGCTTTTGTTGTGCCGTTCTGTATTTTCATGTTTATTTTTGTTTCTATCAACAACGTTTTCTATCCATGACTCTTTGCCGTGAACGAAAAAATTGACTATTTTATTGTACGTCACCAAATAACGCATTTTTACGCTATTTTTAATCTCACTAACATTGCTTTTCAATGCTTTATTATAGTTATGTTTGTTTCCCATTAAATTTGATACAAAATTGAACGGATACGTTATAAAAGAGCCGCACGTCAATTTATACATTGCCTATATCTTGTCCTTTGCCGCTTTGCGATTCAATATGTCTTCATTAAGCGAATATCAAGGCATCGCTGTTACAAGCGGAACACTCCATCTTGGTCCTTGATCCAGAGTTATTGTTTGACTGATGATCTTGATACTTCGAATATTATCAACAAGAAAGCAGGTACCTCAACATAATTTATTAGGTGAGCTAATTGTTCTAATAAGTGTGAGAGAAGAGAGTTGAGAGTATTAACATTCTACAAAGCTTCTTTATCGTATGTTCTATTATCATTCTGTGATATTATAGCAGTCATAAATTAAATGCCTCTTTAAAAGTAAGTATTAAAAAGACAATACAAGTTAACAAACTCGGATCGCTGTTTTAATAGAGTGCATCGCAATTACGCGAATGCGGTACAATCGTGAGAAAGCCCGTCTAAACGAACCTACCACAAGACGCATCAATAAATTGAATTCGTCAACACAACATATAAATTTAGCAATTGACATCCTCCTCCATTTAGACTTGAAGAAAAGGGAACGCACGACGAACAATTTATTCAAAAGAACACTGGCAGTTGATATTTAAATTATGGGAATAAAGTTAATTTTCGTATTTAGAATAATGTTTCTGCGGACGGCGGCCACCCGTTTTGAATTCGAACTGGACTGGCTGGATTTGTTTTTGCTTTTTTTTAACTTTTTTAGATGTCCGCATCGATCGGCGCTCTGTATGTGATTCTGAAGATAAAGACGTATGAATTTACATATGTTATGTCAGTGGAGGTCCGCTGAACGTTTAAATTGGATTTATTAGTCCTGTCCTATTAAGCAGTGCGGGCGATGTTGGAGGTACGTTCACAAAGGTTCCACGTGCATTGGGAAATTTTAATTCATTCGTTGCTTTTTCAAATTGACTTTGTGCAAGTTAAGGAGTTAATAAATATAGGCGCTTGAACATTGATTGTTTTCGAAAAGTTTTTATGATAAGTCTCTTTAACAATGTTATTACAACAAATATTTTGAAAGTAAATTTTCTTTGAAATCTTCGTAAACCATTATGAACTATGAAATGAAAGCACAATCCTTTCTTTAAGAAAAGGATTACTGCTACCAACAATACAAATCGCGTTACTAACAAAAACAGTAGTCAAATATTGTTTTTTTTTTTTTTGTATAAAGGTTTGGACATAATCGAAAACATTAGATGAAACAGAGAGATAGTTGTAAACCTTCAAATAAACTTATCGAGTAATCTGCATTGTACCTTTTTTTGGATACATTCTGAATAGTTAAATACGATCATAGCGCAGATGTAGAAAGACAGAAGCAGTTGGAAAATAAAAAAATGTGAAAACGTAATTAGAAGACGTGTTGATGCTCGTTAGTACTTTTTTTAACAAAAATACAAAATTATACTTCTATAATACAAGTTGTCAAACTGCTGTGCGAATTGTTGGTGACTTGTGAATATGTACTTAATTGACTAAATAGAGAGTCACTTTAAGAAGCACTCTTTTAATTGAATATTTAAAAAATATATTTTTTTTAAATCATATCTTGACCAACGGTTAGACCTATTTTTTATCTATATTGTTAAAAATCACTCACAAAATCAAATTATGGAGATATTGACAAATTTTTGGCTTAACTTCAAATAACTACTTAGCTAGTGTAAAAACTAAACACAAAACTCATGCATTCTCACATTAGTCCAGAACAACATATTCTAAAAATATAATAAAGAACACGAGTTTATCTAATTTTATTTTCAAACTCCTAATAGCAAACAAAGATCTAGTTCCTACAAAGAACCTATTCAAAAATCCAATGAATTAACTCTTCAAGCTTTTATCCCAAATCTTTGACCACCGTCCCATTAGGCACTATTAAGGCCTCTAAAATAAATACTCGGCCAAACACAATGGAATAAAAAATGTTCATAACAAGAATTAATTTATTGTAAGACCACGATCAATGGCCGTAGTGGGTGGACGGCTGAAGAGTCCATCTTTGTCAGGCTTTGATACCAATTTGTTATTGTCGGTCTTTCAACGAAGACGATTTAGAGTTTGGTAGGTGTTACAGCCGTTGGATTAAGGAATGGCTTTGTGTAACAAATGGTCAGCGGGTACTTGTTGAATGTCTTGAAGAGTTTGATGAAGAATTGGTGCTTAGAGTGATTAGTGGAGTGATGGTTGAGGCACGATTTAATCTAAATGCACACATAACACGTGGTAAGCCTCAAAGTGTAGCGCAAAATATTAGACAATTGTAATGTTAACAGTACTTAATTCTTAAATTATTGAAACCTATAGTTAAGTCCTTAAATTCAAATGTAAGCCAAAATAAAAAACAACACAGTAACTTATACATGGAATATCAAATTTTATCAAACAAAACCTGTAAAGATTTTATCAGAAATCGATGGAGGCTCGCACAACAGGTTGACAATGGATCCCGAGTCCGATAGAGGCACCTGAAGCTCCAATATTTTCCCATGGTCAAACGATAAACACCTTTACAAAAAATAATGCCAGGTTGCCTTTGACAAACAATTG